TTTGACAAAGGGAGAGATTATTGAATATTTTGTCAAACTTATGTTGTGTGTTTACACAATTATGTGTAACTAATGCTTTTTGCAATTTCATTATGAGTGTGTGCATAGATGATGTGTTTCCTTGCCCCCGTATGTCACACGTATGTCACCATATGCATGTTGGAATTATTTCGCATTTTATCGCGATTATGTGCACACTTTCTTTTTGCGCTAACATCTGCATATCTGATTCATTTTGCACAAGTTACATTTACATTTTATGCTGAGATCTTTTTTATATCTGATATGCTGGTGTGAAGACCATTTATTAGGGGTGAGTGTTCCGAGTACCCTGCACTTTCCGGGGAAACCGACTGGAACCGCACAGTGCAGGTTCCCAAAAAAAGGAACCGAAATCGGAACAGCACAATACAGGTTCTTCAATTCAAGGAACCGGAACCTAAAATGCAGGTTGGTTCCTTTCAAGGGTACCCTATAAAAAATCAATTACCCCCCTATTAGTTTAAAAATGACAAAATACTTTAAAAGTTTACAAATCCACCCCTAACAAATTTGATTATTCATTCATTTGTGTCCAATGTAACTCATAACCTGTAATCTCTAGGCAACACTTGAATTCAATCAATTCATCACAATTCACATAAAATTCGTCAATCAAAACCAAAACACAAACAATTATTTATCACAATTCACATAAAATAACTTCACCAAAATAATCAAACACAACAATAGAAAGTTAGAAACTGTCACCAACAATTATAGTATGACACTTAATTAGTTAAATGTTATATAATTAAGTAATCATACTATAATGTATGTTATAAAACTTATAATTATTTAAGAGTTATTTAACAATAATGTAATGTTATAACAATTAAATTTCTAATAATTTAATAATTACTTATGTTTAATGTTTATAATATAATGTCATAATTAATTAAGTAATCATTTAATTGTGTATGTTATAATTAATTAGTGATCACACTACAATGTAATTGTAATGTTATAATTATTAAGTGATCATACTACAGTAATTGTAATGTTTAATTATTAGTAATTACTATTAATATATGTAATGTTATAATTAATTAAATTGTTAATCATTTAATTAAGTATTGTAATATTGTTTATAATAGAATGTTATATTATTAAGTAATTATACTATAATTTTAATGTAATGTTATAATTAATAAATTCTAATCATTTAATTAAGTATTGTGTAATTAGTAAATTACTAATGTTTATAATATAAGTTATAATTAATTAAGTAATCATTTAATATTTTAATTATGTAATGTTATGTAATTATTGATCATCTATAATAGTATAATTGTATGTTAATATGTTACAATGAATTAAGTAATCATACTATAATCTATATTAAATATTATAATTAATTAAATTTCTAATTATTTATTAATATACTAATATTTATAGAAATGTTATAATTGATTTAGTATCATATTATAATAATAATAATGTTATAATTAATTAAATTTTAATCGTTTAATTAATAATAATATAATATAGTAAATTACTAATGTTTATAATGTAATGTTATAATTCATAACTAATATATATAATTAACTATGTAATGCTATAGTTAAGTAAGTGATCATAATATAATGTATATAATATGTTTATTTTATTGAGTATTATTTAACTATAATGTAATGCTTTTAATGTTTATAATGTAATGTTTATAGGTAAGTTATAATTAATTAAATTTCTAATCATTTAATTAAGTATTGTGCTAATGTTTATATAGTAATATAGTAATTACTAATGTTTATAATATAATATCATACTCATAATACTTGGTAATTATTTAATTATGTAATGTTATAATTATTATGTGATCATACTATAATGTAATGTTATAGTGATTAAGTAATCAGATTATAATGTTTAATGTAATATAATTAATAAAATTTTTAATCATTATTAAGTAATGTAATAATAATAATGTAGTAAATTACAATGTTTTAATGTAATGTTATAATTTATCATTATAAGTAATCATTTAACTATGAAATGCTATAATTAATTAAGTAATCATAATATAATGTAATGTAATAATGTTATAATTTAATAATAATTATTTAACTAAATGTAATATTTAATTAATTAAATTTCTAATCATTTAATTAGTAATCATTTTTTATAATGTAATGTTATAATTAATGTTTATAATATAATGTCATAATCAATTAATAATCATCTAATATATAATGTTATAATTAATTATGTAATCAACTAATCATATTATAATGAAATATTGAAATGTTACAATGATTAAGTATCCTCCTATAAAATATAAATCTTAATATAATATTATAATAATTTGTTTATACAGAATATTATATTAATTAAGTAATCATTTAATTATAAGTAATGTTACAATTAATTACGGAATCGTACTATAAATTTATAATGTAATGTTGTAATTAATTGAATTTCTAATCATTTAATTAAGTATTATGCTAAATTGCTAATGTTTAGTAATAAATTAGTAATTACTAATATTTATAATATATGTCATAATCAATTAAGTAACCATTTATTATGTAATGCACTAATGCAGTAATATTATAATTAATTATGTAATCATACTATATGTAATGTTTATAGTGAATTAAGTAATCATACTATAAATCTTTAATGTAATATTATAATTAATTAAATTTTTAATCATTTAATTAAGTTTGTACTAATGTTTATAATGAAATGTTGTAATTGATTAAGTAATTATACTATAAATCTAAATGTAATGCTCTAATTAATTAATTTTAATTATTAATTAGTAATATACTAAATGTTATAACTTATAAGTCAATTAATTAAGTAGTAATCATAATGTAATGCTATAATTAATTATACTATAAATCAATTAAGTAATGTTATAAAATTATAATTAATTAAGTAGTCATTTAACTATAATGTAATGTTATAAACTTATAATTGATTAAGTTGATATTTAACTAGTAATTAAATTTATTAATGTTTATCATTTATCATATATAATTAATTAATTGCTAATTTACTATAGATATACTTAGAACTTGATAATTGAAGTAATAACTACATATATTATTATTCAATCAAATTACTATTTTATTCAAAAATGGTTCTTTTTATAACATTAAAATTTAAACACACTTTTTTAATTGGATCATAATTCCAATTATTCACTTAATTAATGAAAACTTTAATATTAATATATTAAAGTTTTTAATATGGTGTAATTTATATGTAATAAGTATAATTGTATTAGTATATTTATTTAATTAGGTTATTCTAAAAATTTAACTTTTTCTATTTTAAATTTTTTTATATGTAAAATAATAGAAACCCCCCATTATTCACAAATATTTCATTACAGTCTAGGTTCCAAAACAGGTTCCAAACAGGTTCCAAAACAGGTTCCAAAATAGGTTCCAAACAGGTTCCAAAACAGGTTCCAAAATAAGTTCCAAACAGGTTCCAAAACAAGTTCCAAAACAAGTTCCAAACAGATTCCAAAACAGGTTCTAAAAATCGATTCCAAACCAGGTACCCGCTACAGGTTCCAAATAGGGTACCCTTTTTAGGTTTTTTTTCCAGGTTTCAGTTCCGGTTCTGATTCCTCCACACACAAGAACCGAAACCGGAACCGCACAGTTTCGGTTCCAAAAAATTGGAAATGGAACCTACCCGCACAGTGCCGGTTCCGGGTAGGTTCCGTTTCCAGTTCCGATTCTACCCGCTGCCCATGCTCACCCCTACGGCACTTATAGGTGTCCCAAATATTCAGAAGTGGTCCTGAAAAACTGGTATTTCCTTTTTCAGCTATGGTCCCAAAAGTTTGGTGGAATCTTTTTCCTCTTTTAGACCAACACATATCAGCCCTTGTCTACTAAGTTGGCATGAATTGTTGCACAAGAAAATCTTCTTTATTATCTTCATTCTTGTACATTTTTGAGCTAACCAGAATATCCATTTTGTTGGTGCTTTGAACTTTTTAGAGAGTTGTTTCTTGGTTAGGTTCATTTTTATGGGTTTGTGCTAAAACCATTTTGTTTATCTTCTTTGTTGAATGGCAACTGTAAAGAGGTTCGATTGTTGATGCTGGAGCATGTCTCCAGCATGTGAAGCTTGGGAGGAGCTCAAGCATGTTCGGGAGTGTTCCTAGTGTGTGAAGCAATCCAAGAGTGACGAAGCATTAGGGAATCAGAGGGTGATGTTTAGTGTATCGTAGAACAGAGAGTCCACTTTACTCTAAAATCAACTCTGAATGTTTATTCTTGTAATGTTTGATGTTATAATGGATTAGCTTCGATCTGGACGAGGTCCCATGGATGTAGGCTAAGAGTGGATTTAGTCAAACCATGTATATACTTGTGTTCTTTATGTTTTCCTACTTATGGTTGTTGATTGACACTTAACTTGATAATGTTTAATCAACATATATGGTAAAAACATTTCCATTGTGTTATTAAAAATGGGTACCTAAACATTTACTAGAGTTCGTTAACTCTAACAGGAAAGAATCTCAAAGAGAAAAGAAAATAATCTCAAGGAAAAAAAGAAAAATGATCTCTTCGAATATTCTTTGATCATATTAGTTTTCACTAATTAATTGGATGCTTGATTCCTACACCTTATTCTATAACTATTTGTCTTTGGTTTTCTTTGGTTGCTATTAGTGGAGCAAGGCTACAACGAGACGGTCAGACAACTCAAGGCTTGTGGTCCAAGTAAGGAAAGGAAGACAATGAATGATATACATCCGACCCATTTTCAATTGGATTTCTGTGTTTACTCTTCAATTGTAACCTGAGTTATATGCCTATAATTTTTTATTGTAATAATTCCAAAAGACCACTATGGAGGAATATTTTTTATTACAATTATATCTTCACTTAAAGTAGAATACAAGGGTTTAAGAAGAAATTGGTGGGGGCTAAAAATTATTTATCAATATATATGTTTCAACCTTTAATTAAGAGATGTAGACAAAATAACACGATATAATACTGACCATTGAAACTGAGACAACACATTAACATCAACAGAGCCAATTTTAATATCGTTAGCTGTTGCCTTGAAAATGAAATTATTGTTTTAACAATGAGCACCATGCATAACTAGTTTAGGTTTGAATTAAAGCAGCATATAGAAGCTGGTTCCAAGTATCAGGAACACCGGCCAAGCACCAGTGGCTGCAGTCAGGAACTTTGTGGCCGCCGATGCCATAGTAGGAAGGATGACCATCTTTTCTTAACTGTGATAATCTTGTCACGTTCAGCAAATACACCGGATTTCTCATTCTTCTTATCACTTTCTCCACTACTATCTCTGCTTTATGTTCACCTCCTGGATACTTTGACCCCATTACTGGTTTTGTTTGTTTCTCACAACTTGCACTTGATTCCCCCCAATCAACTCCACTGTTACGTTTCATTAAAAATTAATAATATAATTAATATCCGTTGTTAACTTATAATTAAGTTAAATTCTCTAATAATTGTTTATTTTTGTTGATAATTAGTGTTTTTGAAAAAAGTATTATAAACCCTTCTAGTTTAGTCATCAATATTACCCCAAGAAAAGCAACAAAATCCCCTCTAATAAGAAGGTTGGCCAAATCGTTCTTGTCACATGTGAATAATGAAAATTTGCTTTTATATATATAGTTATTCTCTAATGTGGACGTCCTAAATTTTTGAATATGTGAGCCGAAGGTGAGTGTCCAGTTGTTCCCTTCAAAAGATTTATAATCAAGATGCTTACCTTGGATGTGCATATTAAAAAATTTCAAGACATCCTCATTATATATATATATATATTATCATAAAGTACTTTTAAGGTTTGCCTTTTTATCACGTGAAGAATAACTTTGCCAATTTTTATCAAGGATACCACTTACAGTTTTAAAAGTATATCACTGACACCCCTTTGTCCTCAATCCATCAAATTGACATTATAATTAAATAGGTAAAGTATTATAATACTTCTTAATATGTTATTCCACAAGTGTCCAATTAAATATATTTTTTAAAATTACAAAAGAGAATTAAAAATTAAAATAAAAGATAAAAAAATGGAGTTAGGGCAAAGAAATTTCAACGATATGGTTTTAAAATTGTAAGGGGAAGTATGATAAAACTTGACAAAATTACACGTAAATATGATAAAACTTTACAAAGTTACCATGAGAATGAAATGCTTTTAAAACTATAAGGGATATCTTTGATAAAAATTGGCAAAATTGTTCTCAACATGATAAAAACGCAAATTTTTATTTACTTGGTACGATCAGGGGTTTATGATAATATCCCATATATATGTAAATTACTTTTAAGGACAATTTACTTACTTGGTATGATCAGGGGAAACCCCTTGAAAGAAGACCTTGGTTTTGGTTTGATCGACATTTGTGTCAACCCAATTAGCCCAAGTGTTCAACGCTTTCTCAAAGGCTACTAAGCGATCCATGTCTTTGATTGTTTCACTTCCATCTTCAATCAAATCCCATCTGCAATTAATTAATGATTAGTTAGGTTAATTAAGAATTAATGAAGATTAATTAATTACTTACGGTTGTTTCCTTCCGGTGTGAAGCCACCAGTGCCATGTGTTGAAGATCAAGACATCGATTTGCCTCCACTGCTTCCCACTTTGAATGGAGTTAAGTTTTAGAATTCGCCCTGTCTTTGTGTTTACAATATCAACCAGAAATGCGTTGCGAGAGAACATCACTTTAGTCTTGAACGTCTGCATGCAAAAAGTCTTTAGAGAATATAACATTATAACTACGACTCCGTTTAATGCATTAATGTTAAAATACTTACAAAATCATGTTGATTTTCAGAAAAATTCTAGTTCTATAATGAAGCTAACTATAATCACCACTGGAAAATTGGTGTTTTCCGACACAGAAAATGGGTCCAAAAACAAGATTCATGTAAAAGAGAGCAATCATATAATGAAGGGGAGGGGAGAATCTCACTGGGAATGTGAAAGTGGAGAGGCCTCCAGTTCTATGTGATTGATAGATAGCGTGTGGCACAGCTTTATGAAGCAAGCATGTGAGTGATTGCCACTGATTTAAACTCAGTGAATCTCCTACAAACATTATGCTTTTCCCTTCAAGCCTCGATAAGAAATCTTGACCATCGAACCTACATCAATCAAGTTTGATTCATATTGTGGATGTGATAAGATTATTCAATATTATTTCTTAAAATGAATTTGGGACAAGATAACATATAAAAATAAATTATACTATAAAATCAGATACGATAATTTAACATATTTCGACATAGTTACATAACTCCCCCCACATCTACGGATAAGAGAGTAACAAAATAAATTCAATGTGCAGTGTTTAACAAATCTTTTTACATCATATATCATGTTCGACTCATATTTTCTCTTACAACATTGAATTGGCTAATCACCCCACTATTTATAAGTAATACATGAGAAAATTATTCCTAATAAAATTCATATTTCCTTATAACAATTATATTCCTTTTTAAATAATTTAATAAAAAAAAGAATTATTAATAAATCATGATAATCAATGATTTAACTAAAGAAAAAATGGAACATATCTCTATTTTGAGGACAAAAATGAGTGAAAGCAACTTAACAACATGTAAAGTCTGTTTAGTGTGCAGAAAATCTAGTAACCTAGAGTTGCAGAGAAATACTGAAAAATTGAAAGATAGAAAAATGATGATAATGCTTCTATATTGATTTTTCAAGTTCAAGAAACATCCTTTTATACTACAATCTATTGATCAATATGAAAGATGATCTCAGCCATTGGTTCATCTTTTAAGAATCACAGAAAAACAGAGGAGACTTGACTGCCGTTGGACTTGCAGGGAGTGAGAGCAACTTGTTCAGCAATTTGATCAACTTGCTAAAAAAATAATTAAAAAAATAAAAAAAATAAATAAAAAAATAAATTTGGGCGGGAAACATAACTGAAAAATAACAACTTCAGCTAACCAAAATAACAGTCCTGACTCCAGCGCATTTATTTGTTGTTTGAGTTCAGTTTGTATTCTCAATACAACAAAATTAATGTTTGGTTAAGCAATAATCAAGATTGGATGGATGTGAGAAGGTAGTTGTGTAATGGACCCATTGTTGAATGCCTGAATTCCTTGATTTATATAAGTCAATAAACTCATCCCAAAAAATAAAATTAAAAGTTTTTATGACAACCAAATGCACATATTCTAGCTTAACAAACAAACAAACAAATAATACTTAAAATCAAAACAAATATAATTTATGAACATTGTCATCATTTTCATGTAGAAAAAGGACCACCATCCATCATCATTTTGTCTTGAATTATCTTATAAACTAAGCTCCCTCACAAATAATATTAGCTAACAACCCATAAACCTCCATCTATCTACCTGCTCAACCTCTATCAATTATGTTTTAGATTAATAAGTTTCAAGGTAAGAGTTTCACTTTTTTAATAGTAAATTCTAGTGTATTTGACTTTTATGTAATGAGTATTCGTTAGTTTGAAAATTCAATTTTAACTCCTATGTGTTTGGTCTTTTCTATAGTGAGCACCTGTCGATTTCAGAAATGTCATCAATTTTATCTTTAAATTTATCAATTCATTAATTGCATTTTTAAAAACATATATTAAATTTTCAACATTATTGACAGAATTTAGATGTTAAATTGATTGAATTTGAATGAATTGTGAAAACGTCATTTTCTTCTAACTTAAATAGAACAATAAAAAAATGGACGTTAGGGTCATATTTCTGAAAACAAAAAGTAATCACTATAAAAAAAAGGCCAAACACACGAGCGTAGGACACATTTCTAAAATTAGACAAATGTTCACTATAAAAAGGACGAACACACTAGGCTTTACCATTTAAGAAAAAAAAAAAAAAAAAAAAACCATTAATATCTAATAACAATGTATCCATATTCTTTTACCACATGGAATTGGATAGATGATTTGAAATATGAGTGATTTAAGATTAGAACTATCCATATTTATATATTTACTATCTTTTACTGTTAATGATTGATAAGTTTCTCCCAAACTTGTATAACTTACTGTTCGATCAAGGTATTAGTCTAACAAACTATTATATACTTATAATGGGAATATTTTATTCTATATTTCTGTTAGTTTGTCAGTGATCTGACAACTTGAAGTTGAGTAAAGAAAAAACTTTCATATATTATGAATAAACAGTATATTAATTAATGTTAATTGCAATTAATTATTTCCATTAATGATTAGATGTCCTAACAAATGGTCAATTAAGTTGAGCTCCAACAATTTCATTTGTTAAAACATACCAACGAATAAATTAAAGGCGACCAACCCTTACAGGATTTTCTAATTAGAAATATTATTTCATTCATATAAAATATAATTTATTATCAAGGATAACATATGTATGAACAAATGTTAATTAATTTTTATTGTTTGCAAGTGTATTATATTTTATTACCAATAATATTCCATATGTGATGGATTCACAAAGAATTTTAATTTATAAGATTGGGGAGAGGAGATAGAAAAGTGCCTAAATTTAATAGAATAATTTAAGGATGAAATCGAAATCCCTTTAATTAATGAAAAAACTTCTATTGTTGATTCTGCATCAAGATGAGACAGACAACTTAACCATCTCTGATTGTCCCACCTGATGATTGTCATATTTTCTATTAGGGATGGTTAATTAACGACGACTACCATGAATATTTGTAAATAATGACAAACTTTCTTCATTAGTGCATGCACTTCTTATACAATTATATAGAGTTTTCTTTTATACAAATATGCAAAATTATATATATATATATATATATATATATATCTTATCATCAAGCCTTTAAACGTTAGATTATATTAATAGTTGAGATTTATTTAAATTAAAATGACATATTATAATTGTAGTGAACCCTAAATTTTCTTCACCTTATCTTTTTTACGTCTTTTATGTTCTCTCTGATCACACGAAATTTTTTTTTTTTTTTTTGATAAACCAGATAATTGCCTCTCTCACGACTCAGAGACAAGATTCCCTAAGTATAGTTAACCCCAATGGCTAAATGTTTTTGAACTAACTCACCTACTATGCAATTGAAATTTTCTTGTTTCAAAGTAATTAAATCAAAATTTCTTGTTTGAAGAGAATTTTGATTTAGGTGGAGTAGAAAAGGCAATTAGGCATGAGAGGCATGCATGCAGAAAGAGCTGGCTTTTAAACAAATTAATTTGTCTTATTATTTGTCTCTACCTAGAGAGTATCGTCTCTTTCAATTTCATGAAATCTAACAAATTAATGAGGCCATAGCCAACTTATAATAATTAATCAAGTAAATAAAAAAAAAAAAAGGGAGGTTACCTTGATAAGTTGCAAGAAGTTGGTTGCCATCTATATTTGAGATAGCCTTTGTCAGGTCTTCCATTCTTCTGACAATCAAATTCTTTCTCTATGAATGGACAATCTCCTTCTCCTGTGTTATAAAGAGGATATGATTCATCTTCAACCCACCTCCCTGAGAAAATATCACATATGCTGGTTCCAATTCCAATCTTTTCACCTGTTTCGTCACCATTATTAATATGAACGTACGGCTCTCCCTCTCCATGAATTTCCTTAATGAGAAGAGAAAGCACCAGAACGAGGATTGCATTTGCAGCAGCCAAGGAACCCATAGAGATAGAGATAGAGATAGCTATGAAACTCAAGATAATATGAGGGAGGATATCTTTAATATATATAGAGGAGATGGCTCATGACTTCAACTTATTGTGTGTGTGTTTAAGGAAGAGAAAGATTTAATACACCCTAAGCTTTTGGTCCAATAATCAAAGTCCTGACCTTTCAAATACTAGGAAATAACCCCCTTAAACTAACAACCATGAATAAAATCTTAACTTTGAAACAACATTTTATGCAGCAACGAAAGAATTAAGAGTGAATTTTAACCTTTTTTCCCTAACGTATAGAGATGAATTATTTGTTCAACCCTTACATGGATTAATGTCTATTAGAATCAAGGGAGTCTATCCTAGTAGTTCAAGCTACACGATCGGGGATACTAGACCCAAACCCCAGGGGGTTAAATGCAATTATTTGTGTTGAAGGAGATTAACCCTTAATGGGAGAATATAAGACTACCCTTAAGGTTTCCGAATTTATCATTTGGAAGACAATTTTCACTTTTTTTTTTTTATCAAATAGACTCTTAAAAGTTTGAAAATTGTACCATGGATACCTCTTTGCCTTAACTCTATTATGTTATTATTTGTCGTAGATGAGTGAAATGATAACTTTGGTCTTATAAGAAAGTGTGGAGGTTAAATAATAAATGTTTGATCGTATAAGAAAGTGTTTTGTAAACATAACGATAATATAACAGAGTTATGATAAAGACGTACTTGTCATAAAATTTTAAATTATGAAGGTCTATTTATAAGGCAAAGGGGTATTTGTGATATATTTTTCAAACTATGATAGGAGGGTGCATTTAAGAAGTGCGAAAGTTGTCATCAGTGTGTAAATTTGAAAACCATATGGGTAGTTTGTAATATTCTTCCATTAATTAATAGGTAAGTCAACAATGTGGATATCTTTCGCATGCTCTTGAAATGTAATAAGAATATTTAGTAATTAATTATTAATAAATATAACTTAATTCACAGAAGAAGAAACGGATGCCACTGAGACAGCTTTAACTTTACTAATTAGAAAAACTTCCTTTCAAAGTATAATTTATCTATATATTTATATACATATTATTTTTACTGGATTTACTTCCCATATAGGCATATATACTTACCAAAAAGATAAAAAGGGAAAAAAAAAATGGGCCAACAATATATATCCGTGCACAATTTAATATGAAAATTACTTTAATCAAAAAGTGTATATATAGAAAATTGGTTGAACTAAGACGAATATTCTTATTTGGAATAAGTGTAAATATGCAAATGAGTATGATTTAAAAATAATAATAATAATAATAATAATAATAATAAAATGGTTAATTACAATATATCCATCATGGTTTAGTCAAATACATTTAACCTCCTCAGGTTTCAACAAGAATACACAATTTTCTCTCTCTTGAAGAAATTTTATCCTGAGACTTTAACACCAAATACTGATAGATTTAAGCTGTAAGACTAAAATATCATCTCATTTATATTTATTTAGAACAATAACTCTTCAGTTTTATTGGACTTATCTAACACCCACGATTTTTTAAAAGTATTGTATACCTCTTTAGATTATTATGTACCCTCCTAAAATTATCATTTATCCCCAAAAAAATATATTTATAAAAACGAAAAACCCTATAGAGGATTATATAATACATTTTTAAAATGGTAAGTGCATATTATATTTCACTATCTCTCCAGAGCCGTTTGGATCGGGGGTATATAAGATAACGGGGTAATCTTCGTTAATTTTGCAAGATTCCTATATTTGGTTTGCAAGTAATAAAATATTACGATAATCTTTTTGCAAATAGTGTTTACTGTTGGTAACGTGGAGGGTAATCTTATTACCTAGTTAGGGAGTATTACTAAAACACTACCAGGGTAATTTGATTTTTCTATCCATTTCGCTGTTAATTAAAAACCATTTCGAACACAATTGCTCTCAAATATCTACCAAATAACAATTACCTAGCCCCTCTACATTTGAGAAATTAGTTAAAACATCTCAGCTACAAAAAAGTTTAAAAGTTAACGAAATACCAATAGCCATCCAAGACCACCGCTGGTCATGACTCACCACCACCGACTGACGGTGTCAGTCGCCGTAATGGTGCACGACCGACAGGATCTGGCTGTTCGTATGCCGATAAGGTCTTTTCTGGCCAGATTTAGTGTTTATATGGCCGTTTCATGGCAAAAGATGTGGTCGTAAAACAACCATAGATTTGGCTGTGAAAAGGCCAGATCTTTTGCTGTGAAATGGCACGGCTAAAGATTTGGCCTTTTCACAGCTAGATCTGTGGCCGTGAAATGGCCATAGATCTAGCTGTTTTTTGGCCATGGATTTGTGATCCATGGCCATTTCTAGCTTTGCCGGAGCACGGCCGGTCATATACGGCCAATCGTGTGTCATTCCATCGACTACTGGCGACGACTGATAGTGATGGCTGGCTATCGACAATGGCTTTGGGTGAGTTCGGGGTGATTTTGCTACAAATTAAAGTTTTATATGGCTGGTTGTTTTAGCAAAATTTCAAATGTAAGGGATTAAAAGAAATGATTCAAAAAATAATAATAATAAATATTATTATATTAATATTTAAAAGGAAAGCAATTTAGTAATCTCTATAAAATACCCACCTATTTATCCTTCCAACCATACATATTATTCACTAATTTATTCGAACCAACCAAACACATTTTCTAAACATTCATAGTAATCTTCAAGGTGATCTTTCTTTCCGTTAATATAATATACCTCTATAATAAAACATTATATGATCCAAACGCCCCTTCAAGGTTTGATAAGAATATACCATTTTTATTGTGATAGGGACTATATATTATACCAAGAGCATAAAACACAGGAAAGTGTCCTTTAGAAATATGTCAGCATCAAAATTATAAAGAACAAAATACCCGACTGTGTTTGGTTAAGGCTCTTGGAAGATTAATCCAGTAATTTATCTTTTAATTCAGTCATTACTTTGTTTGGTTTAATAGGTAATAAAAGATTATGGTAATCTTTTATTACTTATGTAATATGAGAGGTGATATAAAGGGGCATTTGGATCATATAATGTTTTATTATAGGAGGATGTTATATTAACGGAAAGATAGACCACCTTGAAGATTATTGGGAATGTTTAGAAAATGTGTTTGGTTGGTTCGAATAAATTGGTGAATAATATGTTTGGTTGGGAGGATAAATGGGTGGGTATGTTATATAGCTTACTAAATTGCCCTCCTTTTTAATATTAATATAATAGTATTTATTATTATTATTTTTTGAATCATTTCTTTTAACCCCCTAAATTTGAAATTTTGCTAAAATGCCCTAGCCATTTGTAGCAAAATCACCCCTACCCAACCCAATCCACTGTCGGCAGCCAACCATCACTATAGGCTATCGTCGATAGTCGATGGAATGGCACACGACTGGCCGTATATGGCCGACCGTGTGTTGGCAAAGCCATTTCCATGGCCAGATCAATGATCATTTCACGGCCACAGATGTGGCCATGTCGTTTCATGGCCAAAGATCTGGCCTTTTCACGGCCAAATCTGTGTCGTTTCATGGCCACATCTTTGGATGTGAAACGACCATAGAAATGCCAGATTTGGTCGTTTCCGGCCATTGATCTGTTATCCATGGACGGAAAAGGCCTTACTAGCACAGATCGGCCAGATCCTACCAGTTATGCACCATTACGGTAACTGACACCAGCGGTCGGCGGTGGTGAGTAATGGTAGGGGTGGTCTTGGGTAACTGAAGGTATTTTGTTAACTTTTAAACTTTTTTGTGGCTGTGGTGTTTTAGCTAATTTCTTAAATGTTGGGGGGGCTGGGTAATTGTTATTTGGTAGACATTTAAAGGCAATTGTGTCCGAAATGGTATCTAATTAAGGGAAAAATAGGTAAAAAAATAATATTACCCAGTAATGTTTTAATCCCCCGGGGAAGAGGGGGGGAGAGATGGTATTACCCCGAACATTACCAACAGTAAACAATATTTGCAATAAAAGATTCCCATAATATTTTATTACTTACAAACCAAACACTAGAATCTGCAAAATAAACAAAGATTACCCCCGTTATCTTGTATGCCCTTGATCCAAATGCACCCAAAGGGTTATGTGATTACTGACTCAAAGGATGATATTTTAAGATTACCGATGTAATCCTATTTTTGTTCTAACTTTACCTTTAATAAAAATTTCGGACACAAATGTCCTCATATTGATTTCAAATAACAATTAACCCAACTTGTTGAATGACTTCTTTAACCTCATTAATTAAATATTTGGACAAAAATGCCCCATATATATAATCTTGTATAGGGCATTTCAGTAAAATAATATCTAAGTATTTTGATATTGTTGACCATAGGAATGTTTTGTCTGTTCCACCATATCCGTAAACAAAAAAAGACGTTCCTCTTTCATTGTTAACTGAATCAGTAATTGAATCATATATGTCTTTTTGCCCATTGTTGAGACTGTTTTATAAATCATTGTGCAACATTTCGTTGCTTTCACTATCATAACTCAACTCCTCAAGAAGCAATTTATTCTGTGTATTGTCAAATTCAGAACGGTTTGTGATTGGCATTGCATGGAAATCAGCCATGGATTTTCCACCCTTTTTAATCAAATCTTCAATCTCAATCAATGCATGATTTTGGAATTGTTCACTATTGTATCTCAACATTCTCATCCCCATTTTCTTTCTGAGATTGTATGCATTATCTTCAGATAGCCAATCTGCCTTTCACCTAGTTAAATTTAAAATGAAATCTTAATTTCAATAATATGAAAACATATATATATTTTGTTTTTATTGAAACAAATCTAATATAATCATTATAAAATAATAGTTAAAATACGGAAGAAATATATATGCATTATTACATTGATACCACGCGGCACACGTAGACGCAACAACCAATGAAGCAGCCTTAAAACAGAAACACTTAGGCTCCGTTTGTTTCACTTTTTTACACTTTTTAGAAAAAAATTTGGAAAAAAGTTAAAAAAAGTTGAATTAGGCTGGTATTAC